TTAGTGTCCCTTAGAAGGTGCTTGACTGATTGGCACCTTAGTTCTGCCAGTGAGACGACGCGCGGCGGCCGGAGGTGACTCCTGGCAATCAGGGCTGCCCTAGGGATGGGAGGGACTGCAGGAGGCCAGGCAGGCGCCGCTCCAAAGGAACAACCTTGGGCGGGGCCGGGCTGGGACCGGGCCGGGCAGGTCAGGTCGGGGTCGAGACCCAGTGACATTCGCCGAGCGGCCGCAGCAGGTCTTCGGCCCGTGGTTGACCTTCGGCCTTCGGGTCGGGCTGGTTATTTTGCGCGTTATTTCCACAGAGGTCACGGTGGTGGTGGTTTCCAGCGCTGAGGGAGGCAGAATGATGAGAAAAGGGGGTGGGGTAGAGAGAAAGCATAGGAAAAATGGGGCAGGATGGGCGGGGGTTGGAGGAGTGGAGGGTTCCTTGCCTTCCAACCCCCTAGAGCCGAGGGAGGGCCGGGGCCGAGGTCGGTCGTCGTGGGGCTTATAAGGAGGAGGGCACTTTTTCAATTTGTCGTGGCGGGGCGGGCGGGGCGGGGCGTGGGGCCGCGTGGCGTGGCGTGGCGCGGGCACAGCGGGAGCTGGCAGGCCCTAACCTCATTATCACGAACTTTGACTGGACCGTAAATCGGCAATAAATCGACTCTGCTGGAACGGAAACTCCAGCAGCAGCGAGAGCGGGGCGCCTGGCCGGGGCGCTGCTGGCGGGGGCCTGGCCTGCAAACACTATCCCCCGCCCGCCCAACGCCCCGCCCCGCCCTGTCAGGCAATGGGGTGTATCCCCTATAATTGGCAGAGAGGGTGGGTCCCTGGACGGGGCTGGACCGGATGGGGACGGGGGGGCTGTGGCCGGGCCGCCCGTCTGCGTCCTCCGCGCCGGCCCCGCTGCGCCACCATGGTGGCCGCGCGCGTCAAGTTTACGACCTCCGCCGCGTTTGGAAACACTCGAGCTGCAAGAGCATCGGCCTGGCCAGTAATGGATGGGACGGCCCCGCCCCGCCCCGCCCCGCCCGGCGCCGCTGCAGCCCTCTGATTTGTTTGACCCCCACGGGTCCGGGCCGGCGGGCGCAGGCAGGCGTCTTGTCGTCGCGCAGCACCAGCCCCTCGCTCTGCGTCCGGAAGGAAGTCGAGTAGAGCGGCAAGCAGGCCGCGGGGGCAGCGCGATCCCGTGCTGTTGTGTACCGCACCTCCCCTCCCATCCGCGTCGCGCTGCAAAACTACTACTATAGCCGGGGCTGCTGCCCTAATTTTCTCATTTCCCGGCAAAGAGGTTTCTCTGCCGGGCCGGGGTGGGGTGAGGTGTGGGGGGTATGGGGGAAGGGGGGGTGGAGGCGACGCTGACGCCGAGCCTGGTGGTGTAGAGCGCTGCGGCGCTGGCATTCCTGCGCGGCCGGCCCGGGGCCCGCGGCCCGCGGGGCTCAGGGCGATAAGCGCGGGGTAACGGAGGGGGGGAGCGGATGGCACGCGGCCGGCCCCGGATATCGAAAGCGTGCGATGGATGGATGAGAGCGAGTGGGATAGAGGAGAGGACAGGCGGGCAGCAGCGACAGACGGGCGGACGGGCGGACCTCCTCCAGCTCAGGTGCGGCAACAGGACGTGCCGTGCCGCGAGTGTGTGGGCAGGACAGGCAGGCAGGCAGACCAAAGTGTGCGCCTCGCCTTGTCTCGTTCTCTCGCTCGCACACTCGAGTGTGAGTGGGCGCCCCGCGCGGCCAGCAGCGTAGCCCAGCGGGGCCGGGCCTCCTAGGAGGCCCAGCCTAGTGCAGCCTCTAGCTCTAGCCTAGTTGCGGCCGGCCCGTCACGCAGGCTGACTGCCGCCCACGCGACCTGGCCCCGCCGCGCCTCGCCGCCGTGCCCTATGCGCGCCATCCTTGTCGCATGCCCACGTGCTTCCCGGTAGCGCCCCTTATCTCTCTAGCTGCCTCCTCCTGGAGCGATGCGTGTGCCGATCGCTCACAGCTGCGGAAGGGGTTATCGCGCCTTCTGCACGGTCTGCACATAGCTCGCGCTCAAGCTCCCGTCTCGTCTGGATACATGTACGTGTCGCGTCGCCTCGCGCAGCGTATGGTTTGGTTGGGCCAAAGAGGGAGGCTCAGCTTTGAGGAAATCTCCCCACTACCACACTACCCCCCTTCTTCCCCTTTCGCCCCCTTTCCCGCTCGTGTGGCCAACGCCACGGCCGTGCGTCATTTCGGAAAGGAAATGGAGGTAAGCCCCGCTCCGCCTCTACCCCTCCTCCCGCCTGCGTGCTCTGCGGTGCTGCGCGGGCGGCCTACCTGGCGCGGCCGGCCCGTCTGGCTGCTGGGCAGCAGCAGCAGCAGCAGCAGCAGCTGGCCGCGGTCCAAGTGGTCGCGGGGCGCGGCGGGGCGGGGCGGGCCGTCGGCTTCCTGTGACTAAGGCTGTTACTCCACCTGCACGTTGGCGCCACGGCGGTGACCTGGCCGCCGGCCCACTGTGCTGTGCGCGCCGTGCGCCGGTGGTGGTCCCGAGCCGCTCCACCGCTCGCCTCCTCCAATCCTCCGTCTCTATCACCTTCTTTCCTCCTGCCACACCTTTTGCCCTGCCACAACCATGTTATTTGCGTATTTTGAAAAATTGTCTGCTTATTTTCTTGTCGGATACCCCCCCCCCTCCCTTCCCCTCCCCCTTCCTGCGTGGCCCACCTAAACTCGTATTCCATTCAAAGCGGTGAAGGCGAGTGATAAATTAGCTGAGGCGGGGTTCGGGACATTTGCAGGGAAAGGGGTTGGGTGGACGGACGTGTACGGTGTGGGAGAGAGAGGCCGAGGAAAGACAAAGGAGCGGAATCCAAGAGAAGGGAAAGGGGAGACTGACGGGCCGCGAGGTGCGCGGCGTGGCAGCGGGCCCGTTCGTGGGCCTGGGTCTGGATCGGATTGGATTGGATCGACTCGCAGCGCGTGCGAAGCGATTCAGGCGCGTGGGTGCTCTGTGGGCCGCCCCCCCCCGCCCCGCCCCGCCCCGCCCCGCCCCGCCCGGCCTCGCCACGCCACACGTTTGCTTCTATATCGG